CACCCCTTACAAATTACCCTGTGCCAGGGCAGCACTGAGCCCATGTTGAACTGAAACGGCTGGGGTTTGGTTTAAAGCTCGCAGAACATGTCTCCAGGGGAAATTAAATAAGCAAATTAACAGCAGCATCTTTTATTTTCATAAAGCACTTAATAGCACTAGATGCATTTTTTTATTATTATTCTTGGCAGTCTAAACTTAGCTTTCCATATGAAATGACACTTGGAAATCTCATTTTTAGTGGATTGCAGAGGGAGAAGAGCATGGAGCAGACACACTGAGTTTATTTTCTTTTGATCAACTTGCGCAGCTCTGGTGATGCCAATTATTCTTGGTTTCCAGAACTGCAGAGAAAACCAGGAAAAACCCCATTGACCTTGCAGCTCAGCTCTGTTTGCACAGCAGCACTTACCGCTGGTATGGAGCCAGGACAGGGCTTTGCCAGGTATTGCAGGGCCACAGCAGGGTTTGCACCCCAGCCTGTGTGGAGGGCGTTGCTGCAGGATTAGCATTCACCAGGACACTGCAAGCCCGGAGAAGCTGACTCAGTGTGTAGCTGTCTGACAGAGTATCTGGGGTTTCGTTTTCCTTAAAACACCTCTTGAAAACAGAGTTGTGATCGTCGACTTGAAATGGCAAAACAGTTGTGAGGCTGCTCGTCCCTCCTGTGGAGATGGGTGGACTCCTCTTACTCACAGCTTTGGGTTTTACTATTACACCACCTCACTGTTGGCCCTCTTTGCCCAGGGACCAGCAGAAGGTACCAAAACACCACAGCCCCACTGCTCTCGGCTTGCTCTGTGGCGAGGAGGCTTTGTACCTCCTTTCCTCCTAGGGGTTTGGAAATGGTGCTGTGTATAGAGAGGAAAAAGAATGCAGAGGGTGTTGCCTTCCTTACAAAGTCATTGTTCCAGCTGAACAATTTTAGCTGTTGATATGAAATCTTTATTTCAATAAACTTACAGCTAAATGTCAAACTATAGCCATTCTGCCTGTAACTGTACCTTTGAAGGCACGATTACTAATATTACTGTCATTATTTTATACGACTTTTGCAATGTGAACAGTTCATTTCTCCCTTTAAGTCCAGAAGGAAAACTTCTGCGCTTAACTTAAAAAAAATTGTTTTTCACTAAACATGAAAGAGCAATGAAAAATTTGAGGCACACACAGGGCAAATATTTTATTAATGCTCTGAACACCAAAACGCAGTGGGATAGCAGACATAGGTCTATGCTTTTATTCCGCTTTTGTGTTCCCTGGGATAAAACTGTTCCTAACAGGGCTGTGGAGGCTACGCACAATTTGGAAAATGCCTCCCATTGCTTAAGCCCTGGAAAGTAAGGGATAAGCAAAATCTCAGCTGCTGGCAAGCAAATGAGCTAAAAAGCGAAGTAATCTCTATCAGTAGGCTTCTATAGGCAATCTGTAAATGATACTATACATTGCTGTGTGCCACACACCGAGACAACTATTTCCAATTTGTCAACAGTCCCATTTCTTGTAATCAGTGGCAGGGCTTTATTTTTTCACCAGGACTGTTAATTAACGACGATAGAGCTCTGTCTCTAAATGCTCCCGGGGTCCTGGTGTCCGTGCGGGGTACGGACCAGGGTCTAAACTGGTCCCTCTGCGGGCAGCCGAGGTTATGGTGTTTCCTGCTCCTTTCTCAGGCAGCAAAATCCTCCCCCGCGCCGCCGCGTCGCGACCCGGGGGTGGGACGGAGGCAGAACCCGGGACGGTGTTGGGCCGGGAGCGCGTCCCCCAGCGCCGCAGAGGCACCG